CATATTCAAGGTCACAGGGGTCAAATATGTTAAAAACATTAAACAACTTCTTCTGAATAACCATTCACAGGGTGATGATATTTTGCCAGTAGCATGCTGGGGTAAAGGGCTATCAAGTTTGTTCAAATGAATGACCTTCACTTATATTCAAGGTCACAGGGGTCAAATATGTTAAAAACATTAAACAACTTCTTCTGAATAACCAAAATGCACAGGGTGATGATATTTGGCCAGTAGCATGCTGAGGTAAAGGGCAATCAAGTTTGTTTTAAATGACCTTCACCTATATTCAAGTTCACAGGGGTCAAATATGTGAAAAACATTAAAAATAACTTCTTCTGAATAACCAAATGCACAGGGTGATGATATTTGGCCATTAGAATGCTGAAATGAAGGGCTACAAAGTTTGTTTAAATGTATGACCTTGAATCATATTCAAGGTCACAAGGAGCAAATATGTTCAAAATATTTAAACAACTTGTTCTGAATAACCAAAAGGCTCAGGATGTTGATATTAGTCAGATCAAGGACTACTATGTTTATTAAAGTGAATGACTTTGACTTATATTCAAGGTCACAGGGGTCAAATTTGTTTAAAATCTTTAAACGACCTCTTCTGAATAACCATGGGTCCCAGGATGTTGATACTTTGTAAGTTGCATACTGAGATGAAAGGCTTTACAATTTGTTCAACTTAATGACTTTGTTCGACTTTCAAAGTAACAGGGGTGAAATGTTTTAAAATCTTTTATCAGGTTCTTTTGAATGACTTTAATCATAAATACTGATATTTTGCCTGTAGCTTTATTTTAGATCACTTTTAAGGTTGCAAGTGTGAGATTTATACCAGGTGAGCGATGCAGGCCCATTGGGCCTCTTGTTTTGGCTCACCTGGCCCAAAGGTTATGGTCCGGCGTCAATATTTTACTTTAAACAACTTCTTAATAACCGCAAGGCCGAAGGTGATGATAATTTTATTTGGCCAGAAGCAAACTGGGATGAAGGGCTACCAAGTTTGTTAAAATAAATGAACTTCACCTATATTCAAGTTCACAGTGGTCAAATATGTTAAAAACTTCTTCTGAATAACCAAAATGCCCAGGGGGATGATATTTGGCCAGTAACATGCTGGGATGAGGGGCTACCAAGTTTGTTCAAAAGAAATCCCTTGACCCACTTTCAAGGTCACAGGGGTCAAATGTCTTAAAATCTTCAAACAACTTATTTTCAATAACCAAAAGGCACAGGGTACTGAAATTGGGCCTGTAGCATGCTTGGATGAAGGGCTACCAAGTTTGTTCAAATGAATGACCTTGACCCACTTTCAACCTAATGTCCTTGTTCAACATTCAAGGTCACAGGCGCCATATGTTTAAATCTTTTAAAAGGTTCTTATGAATCAAAAACTTATATTCTTCCTGTACATGAGCTGTAGTTAAGTCCACTTTTAAGATTACAATTGTGAGATTAATACCTGGTGAGCGATGCAGGCCCATTGGGCCTCTTGTTATAAATCATCACAGTGTAATAGCTAGCGGGGACCGGCAGGGGACATGTATTGCTTTAGCAATACTCAGTATGCTTGTAATTTTTCATGCATTGTTTTTTGCACATAGAAGCGTAGTCAAGGGGAACAACTTTAACTTACTACTCGCTTGGTGGCATATACGCCACCTAGCGTCGGTTCTTTGCTGCATTTGTATGTGCAGCTCAAGTAGAGGACATAGGCAATTGTTCATGAATAAAATGTTTTACAATTTATTTATTTGTTGTTGTTCCCCTATTTGATGTGGTTTAGGTAAACTTTATGTTGTCGCGTAGGGTTGTCTGGACATGTTAGTGGTAAAAGGATCCAGATCAAGTATTGTCAGCTTGATGTGTAGCTTGGCGTTCTGGGGATGAGAAATGTAATAAACATCTAGTATCGAACAATTAATGTCTTCAGTAATACCTAACATGTTGCCGTTGTGTGGCCAATATTTGGATATCTTTCACTCTTGCAGCTGTACTGCAGATGGTGTTAATTATCCTTTATTTGTTGATTTCTTTCCTGTTAAAAAAAAATCATGGGATCGAAACTGTGAAAATTAGCACTGTTATTTTTACACTAATCCAACCAATCGGAGTCTAGTCCTTAATAAATGTTTTCTACTGTATTGCAAAACAGCATTCCTTGCCTTAAGGTTTTGTTGGCAGGAGTTGGATTAATCACGCAAGCCCTGTTGTTATAATGAAAAGCATAAAATAAACCCCAGAATATTCCTGTCTTCTTCATTCATTATATAAACATTTATATTTCACCTAGTGTGTTGAATTTTTAGTGACCTATTCTAATTGCCTATTGTCCGTCGTCATTTGCGTGCATTGTCTGTAAACAATTTACATTTTCAACTTCTTCTCACAAACCCCTGAACCAATAACAAAGAAATGTTCAGAAGCCTTCCATCGCCAAAGATGAACCAAAATGGTGAATTATGTGGTCCCTGTCCCCAGGGGCTCTGAGGGGCAGGGCCAAAAGTGTTCAAATTGGCTTAAATTTCAACAATCTTATGCTGGAAACAAATACTCTTCATGCATGGAAGGGTCTTGAGATGCTTTGTCAAAATTCTGAATTTCATTACCCCCAGGTTACACGTGGGGAGGTGGTAAAATTGGCTTAAATTTCACCAATTTCTTCCTCAGACCCAGTTGTGCTTGAAACAAATACTCTTTATACATGGAAGGGGCTTGAGGTACTTTATCAAAACTGTGAATTTCATTACCCACAGGTCAAACGTTTGCCCCTAGGGAATAAAACCTAATATAGATAAACCACGCAAAGCAGAGACTGGCATTTCATTTATCATCACTTTTAACCTCCTATTAACACAAAGGAAAACCTGTAAAGCGAAAAATATCTGGTATTATTTGACAGCCTGAGGAGTGTGTAAAACAATTGGCGAGCGTCAGTCAGTTCACGCAGGAAATATATATATAGGACTTTGTGAAAAAACAATATCTGTTTGTAC